TCGTTAATAAATTGGATTAAATGATTTCTATGCTCTTTATTATTAGAACATATTAATATATCATCTATATAAATTATTAAAAATTCATTAAACTTTTTAAATATATTATCCATTTTTCTTTGATATATTTTTGGTGTATTTTTTAGATCAAATGACATAACTAACATTCATATTTTTTTTGAGATGTGCTAAATGCAGTATATTATATACTATATTCTTCCATTTTTATTTGCTAAAATCCTAATTTACAATCAAATTTAGAATAATATTATTTTCCTCTTGCAAGATTTATTAACACTTTTTTATTTGGTATAAAGTAACCATCAAATTTTGTATATTTGTCTAATTTTTTATAATTTATGACTATCCTAACTTTTCCTCTAATTTGTTCAAAATGTTTCATAACCATAAAGACTGGACTACTATGAGGCACATTACTAGGTCTAATAAGTTTTTGTTCTAACAATTCTTTTATCTGATTTTTAAATTCTTGTGTATCTTCTATAGTGTACATCATTGGTCTAACTCTTATTATAACATTTTTTATTAATTCTATTTTGGCTTTTGGATGATGTGGTTTACAAAATAATAATGAATTTTCTCCATAAACATTTTCTAGTTGTTCAATGATTTTTTCTATATTCATTTCTATTCCTATTTTTAGAACCTTTTTATATAATATCCTTTTATTTTTTATTTCATTAAATATAATTAGTTTTTTCTCCCATTTATCACCACGCTGCGCTGGCTGAACTCTGTAAGTCTTAAAATCTCTAGAAATTTTTAATAAATGTCTACAAGGTGTTTATATCATTATCATATAATTATTTTATTTATAATATTGAAATTGTTGTATGAAGTCAATTCCTAATAATATATCACATTCTAATTTATCATATTTATAAATTTTATTTATTATTGCTTGTTTACTTCCAAGAATTATATTGATTTTATCAACACTATTAATTGTTTGAGTACTTTCTCCTGTAACTCCAGTTATTTTTTTATTACCATTATTATTCCATGATTTTATTAAAAAACTTTTAAATATTGTTATATCACTTCCTGTATCAATTAAAGCACAAATTGTTATATTTGTTTTTACAATAGTAATTTGTATACATACATCTAGTGAAAAACTTATCTGATTATTCATCTAATTCTTTTTATATAATGTAGTTTGTCTATTACGAACAATATATAATTCTTTTCTTTTTATACTATAATCTTCTAATCCATTTAGAAAATTCATTCCTAAAAGTATATGGAATTTATATCCATAATCTTATCTATGTAACATGGTATTAAAAGATCTATTCTTCTTATTTTTATTGGTACTTTAACTTCTAAATCTGTAATATGTACTTGTCCATCAAAATTTACATACTTATATGGTTCAGTTTTATGAATCATTAGACCTTTATTTTTTATTGAAACTATATGACATTCACTAGCTCCTGTATCTATTAATATATTTGGTTCATTTATATTTTCTCTTCCATTATAATATTCCTCTTCTATTTTCATGTTTCCAGCATTCCTATACAATTTTACTTCTTTTATTTTGTTGATCTCTTCTAATTGGATTTTATTAGGTATTTTAAAACTTTTTAATCTTTTAATTAATTTTTCATCCTTAAATATGATATTATTAGAACATTCTCCTTCATTTAATTCTGTTATTTCAGATTTATTTTTTGTTATACTAAATTCATATTCTTCTGGAATTAAACTTATTTGTTTATTTTGTTCTATTATTTTACTAATATCTTTACATTCTTTATGAACTTCAATATATGGTTTATTGGAATAAATATTCCCATAATTAGAATTAGTAAATGTATATAAAGCTTTATACTCTATAGTCATAATTTGATCACTTGGTTGCATGATATCATCCCTATGAAGTTTAAAATGTAGTCCTAAAATTTCATTAAAATTTCTATCTTTTAGTGATACATAATATTTTGGATAACATGTAAACATAATTTTTTGATATGCTATATTTCCTTCTATTATTTCTAAATGACTATTAAATTTATTATTCTTCCATCATGTAAAATTATAATTAAGGGTGAATATATTCCTTTTCTAAATAATGATTTAAACATTATTTGTATTTCTACTAAATAAACATATTGAATTTTTTCACTTTGTTTTTTACTGATCTTTGTTAATAGTTCTTCAACTATATTTTTTGTTAAAAGATTTAATTTATTTGCCCATAAATTGTCCTTACATCTAAAATTTTTTCTATTTTGTGATATTTATTTATTGCTATTCTTTCTCTTTTCCAAATTCTATCAAAGACTTCCCATTTTCTTTTTTTAAATCTAACGATAATTATTGCAATTTTCTAAATTTGCTGTTATCAAAAGTGACTTTTAATCCATATTTTTCTATTTCTTCATATTCTTGTATATTTATGTTATTACTTTTTATTTCTTCAATTTCTCTATTCAGATATTGATTCATCTTCTGTTTTACTTATATATACTTCTTAATCATAATATTCTTCAATATCTGATATTTCACTTAATTCATTCTTTATTTCTAAATATTCTTTTTGTAATATTCTAACTTTCTTTCTATCACAATCATGGCTTATATGACATATTTCTCCACAATTCCAACATTTACATTAACTTTTATTTTTCTTTTTGTTCTTCTGTTGATTATATTGGTTATTTTTTCTTTTGTAATATCTTCTTCTAGGTTTCATATATTTTTTTATTAAAATTCCTAAATTTTTTGAACTTTTTATTTTTATACTTTCTTTTATTTCTTGTTTCAGGATTGCATCCCCATTGCACAGGGATTTCTATATCTTCCCAACATATTTTAGTTAATTTTCCTGATTTTTTCATTAATTGTTTTTGTTGACATATGTATGCAAGTCTTTCAAATAAAAATTTTATTCTTGAATCTAAAGTCCTAGGTATTCTAGTATTATCTCTAACATATTTTTCGAATTCAATTTTAAAATATATTCCCCATGAACCTGATAACTTATCATAGTACATGTCTTGGTATACTTCTTTATTTTCATTACTATAAAATTAAACATAATAGTAATTTTTAAATTCACACGTATATTCTTTAATTTTACACATCACATATTGTTAAATTTATTAATTTTATTGTAACATTATCTTTTTCTCTTATTGATAATTCTTCAACATTTCTTATCCAATTTTCTCCTAATAACTCATCTAAAATATATTCTACTAATTTTTCTATATCTTGTCTATCTACATTGATTATTTCTGTTTGTACATTTCTTTTTATTAATGTTTTTGTATCATTACTTATTCTTTCCCATCAATTCCTAACATCTCCTTCAAATGATGCTATAGAGAAATATATTCTTCTTTCAGTATTTTCCCATGTGCATTTTCCCATGTGTCATCTTTATTATATAAAAAGAATAATATCATTGAATCTGTCCAAATTAATAAGACTTTTTTAATATCTATTTTGCAATTTAAATCTAGTTTTGTTCTTCCACGATTAATTAGTTTATCATAATTATCATTTAATTCAAACATATATTTATATTTATTTCATTTAGATGGTTGTCTATCTCTTACTTTATCATAAAATTGTCTATATGATTTATTATATACAAGTGCATAATTTTCATCTGTATCATATAATTCCTGTTTAGATGTTCCTGCTGGATTAGATCCTCTTCAGTGTTCATTAAAACTTGATATTCACTTATATCAGTTAAACTTAATTGATCAAAATTTTCTATTAGAAAATCTAATTTTTCACTCATATTCTTTTTCTTCTACTTTTAATTTTCCCAATAATTTTTCTCTAAATTCTTCTTCCTCTTCTAATATTTTTGGTAATATATTCTTTCTAAATTCATCATCCATACTTCCCGCTTCTATTACTATATTTTCTTTTTCTATATGTTTCTTTCCTATTCGAGTCATCTCTTTTTCTATAAGTTTTTTATCTATTTTTTTTTAATCTTTGTTTTTATTATTTTCTTTCAATTCTCGAATTTCAATTTTTAATATATTTATATCATTTCTTGATTCTTTTACTTCATTTCTTAAATTTTGTACATCATTTATTAACATTTTTATTAATGATTTTAATTCTTCCATATATTTACTTATTGACATCTTAATTTTTTCTTTTTTCTAACTCATAGGTTAATTTGCATCTTTTATTTTCCTTTTTATCTATTATTTTTCCAAATTTTCTCTCAGCTATATCTGGATCTACTAATTCTTCTTTTACTATAATAAAATATTTGCTCTCAAGTTTTAATTTTCATCTCTTAATTTTATTAATTGCCTATTATTTAATATTCTCATTTCTTCTGGTATTAACATTATATTTCGTATTTCCTCTTGTATTTTTTCTATTTTTATAAATAGTTTATTTAATTTTAAATGTGTATTAGTACTTGTACTCATACTTTTCTTCATAATATAAATTATTTTCTTCATCTTCATATGTATTAATAATTTTTTCTTATGTATATATATCCTTTATTTTTTCTATTATTAATCTTTCTATTATTTGTTCCTTTATTTCTTTAGGAAGTTCTTTAATTATTGTTAAAGTCATTATTTTTAATCAATTATGAACATGTTTTAAAAATATATAACTACATTTTTCTTCTTCTAAACACCAATAATTATCTCTTTTTCTTATTTTAATTTTCATGATTTCTATGGCTCTAATACCAATAAAAGGAGGTGCTATTTAGAGCGAATAAAAATCAAATAAATTGGTAATCTATTAAAATTCAAGCAATTTATAATTTTTAAGGACTAAATTGAAAATTTTCTATATTTTATTAACTTATTATGTAATATTATAAAGGGGAGTATTTTGGGTATCAAAATTAGCCTAAGGTTATTTTGGAAAAATGACCTTTCTATTTGGGTCATTTCCATGTATTTCCCTATTTCTCAACGAAAAGCATCTTAAGCACCGAGACGAGTTAGATGGCAGTTTACTTCAGAACTTCAAAAGCAAGCAAAGCATAACATTTCATAAAATATGCACGTCTGACACTGCTAAGCCAACAACAAGACCTTGAGAAATGAAAAACTAAAATATTTCTATTGTTCACCCACAGATGATCTTGACTTGTTATCGAATGAACGAAAAAAATAATATGTTGTTGCATGTGGAGTAGGGCTAACCAAAAGATTTTAGACATTCTTGATTTGAATGTGAACTCTACTTCAAATGAATGGTAGCATGGGCAAAAATGAGCAGAATAAGGAACGACAATCGCTGCCTTGAGTTGAAAATGCTCAAAGTTTAGTTTGGCAAACATGATCCACGCAGGAACACAGAAATGATATGCCCAAGAGATTTTAAACTATCAGCCTTAGTCCCTAGTCCCTCTTTCTATTTGAGCATATCTCGATTAATGCAGAAAACCAATCAGTGGTCAATTCTTTTCACCAGATCAAAATTGATGAAAAGGGCTTCCTGCAGTTGAAATCAACTAATAGCATCAAGTGCTTTAGGAAAACTAACAGGCAAGAATAGAGGGAGGAGTGCGCCAAGAGTTGAAATTTATCCAAACAGGGAACACTACCATTAGGGGGAGAAAATGGCAACACAATTGGAGTCAACACAAGTGTCCTTTTAAGTACGCACTTGTATTTTACTCCTCAACCTTTAATCTCAACACACGTCACGACTGAGTCAAGACATAGAGTCGGTCAAGCTTCTTAACCTTTTCAAGCTATGGAAATTAAAATAAAACTTCTAACAATGTCCCTTTTTTTAACAGGTCAAGTTTTCATCTTATTCATGAAAATAGGAAAAAATGGTTGGAACTTGAAAGTGACCACATACATTTCAGTTTAAGCTCTAAATGGGGACCAGGACCACAAAACAGACAAACGGCAAAATAGTCGCAACATTTGCCTTTCCCTTCCTCCGTGCCAAAAAGTTTCGGTACACGTTGAATGCAATTGAAAGGAAGACAAGTTCATAAAATAATAGTTAATCAATACAAAAAGGAGTCTTCGATCAGTATGAATTATCTACATGTTATCATATATCCTTGCAAGGAAATCATAATTAACCAAAAAGTAATGAAAACAAAATCACTTTATCACAGCAAAAATATCGTAACTATACCTGGCCAAATGGACTTAATACTTGTCTTAAAGATATTTTTCTCTTCCCTCAAAATCCACATTCCTCACGACCAATTTCGACCTACTTCGGTCAGCGTTTCTGTGTACTAGTTAATTTTTATAGCATGATAAAGTAGCATCATGGGGGCATGCCAACCCAAAATAGCTCCCCATGGTGAGAAAATGAAAGGGTAAAATAAAGGAGAGGAAGTAAGATACACACACATAAAAATTAGAATAATATTACTTGTACATAATGGTTTACATACAGATGAGGTGTCAATAAAAGGGTCGGGAAGGTTTTTATTTTTTTATTTTTCAAATATATTTGGTTGAAGAAATTCTAAACCAATCATATCTCACCACATCATATATATATAAACCATTATGTATATGTAGTACAACCGTACCGTAAACATTATAATAACATGCAATTGATGTATTCTAAAACACACAGTGACTCCGCATATTACAATTTGGCAAATCTTGAATGCCTAGAGCAATTGACGCATTAATGGACAAAATGAATCGGGAATGCCATACTAAATTATCAAGATTAACTAAAAAAAAAATTAAGTCAGACCTGACACATCATACATGAGTCACTATCAATTACTTCTGATCAAGAAAAAATGAGTGTCAAATAATAATTCCGTTCAGCAATTATTTAACATTTTGTTCAACTAGATTTAATCTAAAACACCAGTTCATATCATCAAGAAATGAAATTCACAAGCCCACCCTTGACTAACAGCTATCAATACTTATTCATGCCAATTCAACACTTTTCTCTGAAAGCAAGAAGTGAAAACGAAAATATGTACAATGAATAATCAGTGTCAGAATTCATTGCTCAACCCTTGTGCATTTAAATAACATTCAACTTGCAATGAAAAACCCATACCAGTTTCCTCATCATACTTGGACTTCCACACCTCACACCCGTTGTGCAGATCCATGCAAACATTCACAGCTGTATTGACAGAATCGAACTCTAGGAAACCAAAACCTATTGAAACATTCTTCCATTTTTCAGATACATTTTCACCTATGAAAGAATCAATTAAAACGTGAACAAGGAGCATTGATGGAAACTGCAGTAAATGCAACAATAGAATTAACTCTATTGATAGCGTACAAACAGACAGAGACGAGAGAATTACCCTGACGCTAAGTGTTCGTCCTTCATGTGCTCTGTGAAACGATTCTTCAAGTTCTCATTTGATGATTTGGAATTCAGGTTCTTTCAGTGAGACTGTACCACAAGAGAATAAAACAAAATCTGACTGCTCGTAATGGAAACTGCGTCAAGAGAAAACCAGCATAATCCAATTTCAACCAGTCTAACAAGATTTTTTTGCAATTTATTTTCATTCCACAATCCCATCAGCCCAATCACTACTACCCATTTGAACTATCATCCCACGAATTCCATTAGCCAATCATTACAGTCCATTGATGCCACTCTTACACTTGTAAACATCACACAGTCACTGTGAGCCATCAGTGAGCTCACGCCATAGACTATCTAGAGCATTAGACTCGAAGTTCTGCAATCTGTATCATCCATTTATCTAAAATTACCACGCACCATCTGCTTGCCACTACAAGGAGGTGCATTTTGAGTACCATATATAATCCTCTCGAATATGCAAGCTCAGTGTGGTGTAACTCAGTTATTCTTTTTAGAAATTATTCAAAGATTGATGTTAAAGTGAAAATATTGGAGATCTAATGTCTGCAATAAAATTCTACCAGATATCTCGAAAGAAGAAAGAATATGGTTTTTCAAAGAATAACATGCTATCATCTTAGTTGGTATCTGCAAGAGAACATTAGCAAGGTCCTCCGACGATTTGCAAAAAAAATCATGTAGTGGAAAAAAGAGGACTCAGACGGGATATAGTTGCAGAGAGCTTGCATTTTATTGACTATCACAAAGCAAAATAGGACCATAACTGGGATCAGAATCGCGATTATACTGTGGGGTGTGTCATGAGCATAACATACCATTAGAACAAGAGATATAGATAGGAACTTTTCACGTGCAAAAATATGCAATAGATGGTGACACGTCAAAGGTTTTAACAAAGACGAGTTTTTGAATCCTTTACCTGCCTTGACAAAGAAGATCACCACGAAAAAAAGTTTCATGGCATCTCTGCAGTAAACGTCCACATTACATTGACAACAAAAATAAGAATTAGTAACAGAACAGTTCTTTCGTCCAGACAATCATCCCCTACAAATGAAATAAGATGTGGCAAGATTATCATGCTCTCAGTTCATCTCGCAAAGCTCTTCTGAATTTAGAAGCTCTAAGTTTCTACTTTTACCTCAAAATTTCAGTGAAGGCTATAAATAGAAGATATGAAAGAAGACGAGACATTATGGCTTCATTAGGATCCATGATTTCATAGAGTAATTTGGAATGGAAAAGGCAAGTATGTGAAATAATTTTTTGTCACATTTTCTAGGAAAATAAAAACCAACATTAAAATCTTCTTAAAGTAATGGAGCATCATGTAAATAAAGTAAAATGATTTATACATGAGAAACTCAATTTTGTTTTCGATGACTGTTTACTCATATTTATCTCATACTGATATGAACAGGTTGGATAGTGTAGTGCTATAGAATTTTAATGCAATTCTAGTGCACCTTCAAGGAAGCAGAGACATCTTAGCTCATAACCTCAGTAAAATGAATTCAACTGTCAATTCCTTAGGACTTTTAAAGGATCACAAAAAGGGCAGCCTCAATCAAGTGTAGGTTCACATAACAATTTTTCCAAAGATCAAGAGAATGGCAAGTGCCTGGCTCAAGAAAGAATTGTACGCTTGGTTCTCATTTTCTTGTTTTTTTATTTTAACAGCACTGATGTCTCACTTGGGACTGATTTTAAATAAACATCCAACTGGTCTATTACATATATTGTGATATTAAATAAAGGCTTCGTCAAGGAACATGAAAGTGAATTGCCATCAAATGCCAAGTCACTTCCCATCTAAGGTCAAAACCATGAAAATAACAAACATGCTCTACCACTATGTTTCGTTGCCTTAATCACCAGAAGGAAGACAATAAACGATGACTATAAAAATATAAATATTGTTATATACCTATATAAATGCTTGATTTTACTATCAATATACACAATATCTTCATCATGAAAGAACCAGTAGATGCCTGTGTGGAAGTCAACAACTTCTTCTGCAATGCTATTTTTGTAGTCCGGTTCCAAGAGGAGACAGTCAATCTCTTAACTATTTGAGTAAATCAGAACCAATATGACCTGGACCCTAGTTATGGGCAATCCTTATATTGCCTCAACAGCTTCTTCAATTTTTACTTCGCGCTTTGGTCGTCCACACCTCCTAACATCTTTACTCTTTAAAAGCTCCAAAGCATTCTCCAAAGTTACCTCCTTAGGTGCCATGTTCTGTGACCAAAATCAGGTTACGAAAACACATCAACATCTTCAAACCCATCAAATCAAGCATTTAAGAGAGACCAAAATTGGTGTTGGAAGATAATAGAAGCAAAAATATAAAGATAAAACACACTACCAATGATATACATTGATAAGGCATAATAAACTACCTTGGGCACAGAAGCAATAGTGCGCCTGTGTCTAATAGAAAATCCAACCTTTGCAAGCTTTAGTACTACTGGCTGGTCATCATCCGGATGGTTCCCCTGACATGAAAGTCCATTTTAAATTAGTGCAACAAGATTAAAGGTGAAGAAAGAAAATATAAGTTAAATTGAAATATACCAAGGTCACAGGATACCGCAATAACTCAAGGGCATCTTCCAAGGTAATCGAATCCACGTTCTTTATCTAGCATGGGCAGGAATATAATTTTCAGATTAACAAATGGAGAAGTGACTCCATGGTAAGCATCATGTAACAACAAAACAAATCCCCCTTTATCACAAGCATAATTTTGAACTAACATGCCAAAGAAGTGTGACTTCCTAAGAAAAGCAGAAAAGGATACAGGATAGGGGTTGGAGACAAAACACATACATTAAACCAAATTTTCAAATTTATAACATGAGACAAATTATGGTTGGAACAGTGCTTTCAGTATCTGTACTTAAAAGGACTTCAATGATTTATGAATTCACATTAATGCTTTGTCTTCATAATGCTCTAACTTTGTCAAACTATGATTGTTGCAGTTAAATATCCGAATGCGAAGACGGGGGGAGGAAGGAAGGAAGGGAGGAAGTGAGAAAACTTAATCCACCAGAATGCCAACATACTTGGGAAACTGAGGCTCTCTTAGGTAAATATCCCTTTCTGTCTTCACCGAGCTGAACATAAAATCCATATGGACCCTTCTTCAAAAGAACCTGGGCAGACAATGAAGAGAAGACGTAAATGTGAAACCATGTATACAACTCTCTAGAGAAAAGAATGAACAGGAATTAGCATAAAAATAAAAACCTTCTCATTGGAACCAGGATTAAGACCTAGTAACTTTGGCTCCTCTACATTGTTTTTATTTTTTTCCTGATCGACTTCTTCATCATCCTCACCATAGAGTGTCTTAGCAATGTACCTGTGAAATGATTAAAATGTCACTATATCCATGCAAGCCAACCAACAAACAATATATCTTAAACAAAGACTGATTATACTGGCAGAAAATGAAATTAGACCGGACGTACATGGTCACTATACTAGCGGCCATGAAAAGGGCTATTGTGAAGAAATTAAAGCTCATGAATCTTAATTAAATGTACTTCTTAAAGTATCTTCGTTGAAGATTTTCAAACAAAAAGTCGGCTTATAATCCTCATGTAATAATTTCAGCTACAGCCAACAAGTCCTACTCAGTGGTGGTGCATAAAGGATATTGCCAAATCAAAGAACTAAGTTATTAACCCATGAATAGCCTTTGTGTATGCGTTATTAGAGTCTATTTCCGGCCAAGCAAATTAGTTTACTTATTTCCATGTATAGGCTAATCAAATCACAGAAAATCAGGGATTAATTCCATTGTATGGCTAATTATTTTCCTTCCTTATATAGCTTGTAATATTCTATAAATCAAAGGGAATACACACGAGAAAAGGCATTCAGCAAAAACATGTCAAGCGTGTGGATAGAAAACATATAAGAGCACATTCAGGGTACATTCAAACATGAAATGAAATCTGCAGAAGCACTTAAAACAAAGAACACATTAAGTAAAACAAAGTTCCGCAAGGTAGGCTATACTCACTTGCACTTGGGATGTTGATCACAACCAATGAAATATCCAGAACCAAACCTGCTGACTTTGAAAATTAAAGTTCCTTCCAAACAACTAGGGCATGTTCTACTTCCACTAGGAAGAGATGCAAATAAGAAATCGCCAAATGTTTTCTCCAACATCTTCTCCACCTGATGAATATGAACGTTGCTTGTCTGCTCACAATACTTGCTAAATCTAGTCCAGTAATCTTTCAGAAGGCCTTTCCATTCAGTCATTCCAGCAGAAACATTATCAAGTTCAGACTCCATATCGGCGGTGAAACTATAATCTGTTACCTCTGAAAAATAGTGCGAGAGAAATGCTGACACCATTCGACCACGAAATTCTGGATGTAATATCCTGCTTTTAGGTGTCACATAATTTCTATCTTTAAGCACTTTAATTGTGATCGCATAAGTAGAAGGTCTTCCAATGCCAAGCTCCTCCAGCTTTCGGACCAATGACCCCTCAGAGTAGCGTGGTGGAGGCTGTGTGTAGTGTTGATCTAGGTCTACTTTACCCAAACACAATGGCTGGCGAGACTTCAACCTAGTCAAATTTTCATACATCCCACTTGGAAATTTCTCTTCATTCTCATCACATCTTATTCTGCTGGTTTCCGCATCCTCATTGACAGCCCGGTGGCCGAGAAAACTGACCCTTGAGCATGTAGATCGAAACACAATGGACTGATCAGCATTCCCAATATCAAGTTGTATTTGCTCAATGATCGCAGGTTCCATTTGGCATGCCATCGTTCGAGACCATATAAGAGTATATAACTTGAGGGAATCTTCATCAAGTACTCCAACAAGCCTTGAGGGTAGTCTTCTGATATCAGTGGGTCTAATGGCTTCATGCGCCTCCTGAGCATTTTTTACCTTTTTAAAATACTTGCGTGTACTCTTTGATGCAAAATTCTTCCCATATTTTTCCACAATCAAGGACTGGACATCCTTTGCCACTTCATCCGATATGTGTAGCCCATCTGTTCTCATGTAAGTTATTAATCCCGTTGCTTTGTCATTTGATAATTGGACTCCCTCGTACAGCTTCTGTGCAACTTTCATCGTATACGATGCAGGAAAATTGAATTTGTTTGCAGCATCTTGCTGAAGCGTTGATGTTATGTACGGAGGGGGAGGATTTCTCTGACTTTTGCTAGTTTTAGAGTTGATAACTTCAAACATGGACATTTTAATTTTTTTTTCAATATCCTTTGCCTCCAAAAAAGATCTAATTGAAAGCTGATTTAGCTTTCTGGAATCATAATGGGTCAAATGTGATGTAAGAGAAATGCTGTTGGCTGAATTTAGATCTTTTTTGTGGAACTCAACTACAATTGTCCAATACTCCTGTGCTTTAAATTCATCGATTTCCTTTTCCCTGTCACAAATAAGAGCTAAAGCAGCAGATTGGACTCTTCCAGCAGACTGACAACCAGGTAATTTCCTCCATAACAATGGTGAAATATTGAATCCAATCAGGTAATCAAGAGCACGTCGCGCAAGATAAGCATGCACCAAGTTTGCATCGATCTCTCTTGGAGTCTGGAGGGCACTTCTAATAGATGATTCTGTAATCTCATTAAAGACAACTCTTGCCACATTGATATCATCACGCAAAACATCCTGCTGCTGCAACATCTCTATAATGTGCCAAGCAATGGCCTCTCCTTCACGGTCAGGGTCTGAGGCCAGAATGAGATTTTCAGCTCTGGAACAAAGAAGAAAAGGTGAGCAAATATACAAACTGATTAAGAATGAAATAAAAAAAGAAAATTAACTGCAAGTAAAAAAGTTGCTTCTAATACAGAAACAAAATAATCAGAAGCAGACCCAAGACATCAAATGTAACAGGAAGAGAGACAATAAAAGCTATCGGAGTACAAAGATACCATACCCACTCAGTGCAACCTTGATACCCTTAAGATGAGTCCAGGCAGCGGATGGAACTTCCCACACCATGCTGAAGTCATCATCAGGTCGCACGGATCCAGATCTCGCAGCCAAATCCCTGACATGGCCATAACTAGGTAGTACCTCAAACATGTTTCCAAGGTACCCTTGAATCACTTTTGCCTTTGTAGCAGACTCCACGATCATGACCGATTTACTGGTTGGCGGGTATAATTGTGGCCAAGCCTTCCGTCCGCGAGACTTAGTTTTGTTGATCACGTGTGACTGCGGTCTCTGTGAGACCTCGTTGTCACCAGATGACCCTGTCACTTCCTCATCTGATTTGATAACACTAACGACTTCTTTAACAGATTTCACTTTTCTCTGGGAGTTCTTCCCCATCTTCTTTAGAACATCTTTCGTTGAAATGCCACCACCCTTTACTTCTGAAGCAGCACTTGCAGTTGAATCAATCTGAAACATACATAATTAGCACACCAATGCGTAAGCATAACAAACCCATTACTGTAGTCTACAAAGAGGATTGCTAACCTCTGAAGATACAGAAGATTGCATATTAATGCGCGTTCTAGTCTTCTTGGGCTGAGAAACTTTTTCAAAGTCAAGTGGCTGATCTGCTGCATCAGTAGGCACACCGACCTTGGAAGATTGATTTTGGTTTTTATTGCTTCTTGATCGGTGCTTCGATTTACCCTTACCATGTGTTTGCATGTTATTTTTGTTTGATAAACTCGTACTTCTGGAAAGAAGTTGTTCACTGGCAATGGATACACTATCTTCAACAGCTGCTGCCTTACCTTCAAAACTGCTCCTTGCTAATTCCTCATTGTCTATTGCCCTTATTTGGTTTGGCCGCTTCCGATTCTTAGCAAGTATTTTGAAGTAAAAATTCTTCCCACTGCCACTCTTTTTTGCCCCACCATCGTTATTCTGGTTCAATTCCGTCCTCGAAACCTCAGAAAAGGATCTTCTACCACTAACAAAATAAGTGGAACTCGGACCACTTTTTATCCCACAGTTTGAAACAGATAAGGGCATTGCAGTATTGTACGACCCATATCCAAATTGGGGCTTGATTCTGAAGGCAGAAAAAGGACAAGGCACATTGGCACCACTTCCCAAAAGTTGAAATTTTTTTTCTGATTTGACTCTAAGAACTTTCGGTTGGATATTTGGGGTTATGAGACATATCCTAGCTTTTTGAGGAAAATATTTAAGTTTTTCAGCACTTGAAAATGGTGAACACGGTAAACAAGTCGCTGGGTGATTCTTAACTGTCCTGTTCTGCAACTTAAAAAAGACAATAGAATAATTATTACATTGCAAAAATATAGCAGAATAAAATGAGCACATAATAGACCAGATCTAAATAAGTAGAACTCTATAACAAGTTTATCATGAATAGTTATATATAGTACAAACAAGTGGTGTAAATTCAGTAATTAAAAATGGCCATACACAACATGGAAATTTCATTTGTAAACGACAAATTTCTTATCACCATATCAAGTAAAGTAGATATCTAAAGCTTGAAGCTTTTTTTCTCAAATGCACAATTGATGTTGGTAACTTGACCTCAGTTGAGCACCCATAATTGGCATACCTGACTTATTCCATGAAATAAAAATGGAAAAGTCCTCAGAGATTGGGATGATAACGGTCAAAAACTGTCCGACCCAACTCCCTCTTATTTTAAAATAGCAAAATGAATAATAAGTGGATATAACTTTCTTCTCAAGCGAATTTCACTAAGATTTAGAGAGGCTTAGATGACTCAGTTTAGTTCATTGAAATCAAGTATAGTCCGCTTGTGAAGAAGATGATACTTTCAACTTGTGGTCTCCAGAACAAGCAATGAGTATAAAGATATCAATTATTGGTAATTCACGACCAAAATATTCTGAGGAAAAAAAAAATTGCTTCAATAAGATATGCAGATCTTAAATTAAATTTCCATTTGTCTAATATACATGAGCTACAATAATTAACAGTTGAAATTAGTTACAGGGATGAAACCTAATGAATGGATCATTAATGTTCATAAAGTGCATAACCAACTCTTTCAAATATTCTATACATTTATCGATGACGAAACTCTCAAAAATACATTCAACACTTAAAAATGACTACATTTGCAATTAACTATCTTTTTTATTAATTGATTGCCATTCTAAACGGACCAGATTAAAGCATTAAGCTAAAACGTTTAATAATAAACTAAGAAAGAAGGATAAGGGAGAAATTGTCACCATGACAAAGAGGCGGCAGCTAGTAGAGGCAGCGGCGGTGGATAGAAATTGCTGTACGGATGCCATCCAGATATAACGGCAATCCTCTGTAGCAAAACAAGAAATTATTCCGGAAAATAGAGCTACTAATACTTGTTTGGGCAGATTCTTCCACCAATCTTAAACTCCAAACGAAAATCACAACTGAATCGGAAGAAATGCACATACGACGGCAGCAGTTGAAATCTTCTTTAGCTTTCAGTCATCATTGCATTTACCAATGAGAGAGTGAGTGTTTTGGCCTTCTGGAGGGCGGGCATAATGAACTGATAAACATCCGAGGGTTTAAGGATGAGCATTTCCGCCATTTCATTCATTGGAATTGGGCTGGACGTGGTTTCTCTCTGTTGGGCTTGTAATTTATGGATCACTTAGGCCCCTTCCTAGTCCTACTGATACGAGTCCCGACCTAGACAATGATAGCTCATTTGAAAAATCCACTAAAAAAGAATAGTAATTACAAGACTATAAAATCTACAAAATGTGGGTGATTTTATTTTCAATGAATGTTTTAATCTTTGATCATTTTTCACTCACATTTCTAACTTTTTTGCACCAAATTCTTACCCTCAAACTTTTATGAATTTGCATATCTAATTTCTCTAATGATGGTTTCCGATAAAAAAAAGAAAAAAAGAAAAAAAGAAAAAGAAGATAGGGGATGTTAAAAGTTGTCTCTCGCATTTTTAATAAGAAAAATAAATAATAAGTACAAAAAATTCAAAAAAAAAAATCTGTCTTTCATTTCTATGCATGTCAACAAAATAATTATATAAAAATTGTCATCCAATACAAAATGTATTATTAATTAAAGGTTAAGGATAAAAACATATTTGTTGTGGTACAGTAATTATTAAAAAATCCTAGGCCCACCCCCTATTAGAGGATTGTCAGCCATGGTGTATACTTAGAATTTCTCTATTAATTTTTATGGCGACAATACATTCACCTATATTTATTTCAAGAATATGTGATAATTTAAAGTTGTTATTTTTATAATCATTCAATCAACTTTTATAATCAAAACGGTTATGAATATGAATCCTACAAAATTAATTTACATAATATGTTATAACCTCTGATACGATTGTGGTCGGATTGATATTGTTTATCTCTATATCGTTAATTCTAATATTACGTAATATGTTATTTTTTGTTTGCTAGTAATTATCTTACTTTGTGTATGCCATTTATGAATTACAATTCATTAGTATAGTGTCATTTTGTGCATATGTTATTATTTTTTATTTTTTTTAATGACGGAGAAACCCGTAGCCGCTATCCTTCAGGTGCGCACTGGGTAAACTCTCGGGTTGACGCAATTACATGCAACTCACGCCAGTTAGATAAACCGTATTAGGCAAACCTGTTGCATATGTTAGTTCATATTTATAAAGGTACATTCTGTGTAAATTCTTTCGCGTGATTGTTTCAAAATTTATTGATCTATGTCGTAGTTGAATTGTTAGCTATATTTTGTGACATAATAATGGTTTGCTGTTTTTCTAGTTCTTATTATAAATTGTGTAGTATTAATAAGAAAGTAATTGAACACTGATGGATGAATAAGCTGCTTCTGAAGTTGTAGCTTATTTTGTATCTTAAAGAGCAATTGGAACTCTCGGTGAAAGCATCAGCAAGTGACAAATTCTTGGGAAAGTCAAGAACCTCGCACTTTTCACACACAAGTAAAAAACCCAAATTGTTAATTTGTGCATTTTTAATTATTTTCTTAGTTAATTTTAGTTTTAGTAAACCATTGCCATGACACTTTATTTTCTTCAAATAGGAGCTAGGATTTGTTAAATGATAATTAGATGGATTAGTCCTTGTGGGAATGGCATTCTAGATTCGTATGTCCACTATATTATTTGTTTATTGATATTGTTCATTTATCGTTTTTACCAAACAAGACCTGTAAATCAATTTTTATAGTTACAATGTCGTACACTTTCTCCTCCATGAAAAGATATTTGAGGTGGAGCCACGCATGGGCAGGGGGACAGTGGGCCACCCAAAATTTTTGCTTTTTTAAATTAACAAAATCAAAATAGGAAAAATAATCCCTTAACAAGAGGGACACAACGTTTTCTCCCATTACAATTTGGTTTTAGGGTTAACAACGGTTCGATCTGGAGTCGGTTACGTCAAAACCATCATTCCAACTACTAATTTTTTGGTCATATCATAATCGCACCATAAGCATGTAAGTTGGTTCGATTCAGCTCTGTTCAGACGATTAATAACCACGAAAATAAATTATTTTTTATAGATCTAGCCATCGAACTGGAAAAAAATAATTTATGAAAAAGGTCAATGAAAATAAAAATATAATATTAAACCAATTTAACAAACAATATCTCAAATGAAAATGCAAACAATATCTCAATTTCCAAATGCAAAATTCGAATTCAACAAACAATTTTCATATATATTTAATATTTGCATAGTAAGGTATAGGGTTACTGGTTAGGTTACTTGGACTTGACGAGTCAATAATAGACCAGAATTTTGGGCTGAACAGAATCATAAAAAGAATAATGGAAAACTCAATTGCACGATTATTTTTTTTTAACGGGTAATCGGTTCGAGGCAGGCACGACAACATAAATATCATACTTGTTCCGCCCCAAACCGAAGCATTAAAATCAAATACCATATCCACCCCATTGTGCAGTCGGCTGTGTTTTTTAGCCCCATTCGATTCAATTAACCGCGACTTTCAATTTTGACAATTCGAATTGTCGTCCCTATTTGGCTTAAAACTCTACTCACCCCTCTTCTCTCTTCAAATATCTTGCAAATTCGATTCCAATTGACAAGTTGACCATCGGCATCGTCCACCATCGACCACAGGCGAGTTTGTTGCTCTTTCTAGGGCATCTTCTAATTGTCCTCTTCTATTGAAAATTTACATCACTTATGTGTGGATTACTTTTATGCCGTCATTGATATGCAAATTTGGCGTTGAATGATTTTGTTTTGTTTTTTCTTTTTTAGGTAAACAGTGAACCGTGACTTTGCATAGCATGTTTGTGTCCAAATAATTCATTTTTTACTTTCGACAATAACAAATTAATTCGATCTGGTGAGTATTTGTCCTAAAGATTTTTCACTAACAAATCTTCTTGCACTTGACAATTAAATTGAAACTTATATATTTGATATGCGCACGAATGAAAATTTTGGAGTATTACAAGTCTTAGTGATCTTGTAAAGAAGTTAGTTGTGACAAAGAAAAATAAAATATATCCACTACTATATAGATTTATGATATTGATCGATTCTTCTCGCTGCTACTGCTACTGCTACTATTGAGAGAGTATTTTCTCTAATAACTCTTGTCAAGACTTGACTACTCAATCGAATTGGATATTAATGGTTCAATGATAATTTAGTTATACATGTTAAGAGAGATATATTTAATGAAATTGATAATGATGTAATCATGCGATATTTTCAAAATATGAAAACATGTCAAGATCAATTATAGTGATATAGTGTTACTATTTTATATTATATATAATTATTCTTACCATATAATTTTTGTCCATCCAAATAAAATGTTCTGGCAGTGCCGCTTAATCGCTAAAATTATACTATTAAAGGTGAAAAGTAAATTTGAGAAAATCAAAAAGTTGGTATCTCGCATTTGAATATAAAACTATAAAAGTCACATGACTCTTAAAACCCCACTTTGGCATTTCGTGCCACAAGGGGACTAGTGGAGGGTTTGAACTTTGAACCAAAGAGGCATGCCTTTTTCGAAAGTGTCTCTTTTCTTAACACAAATCATTTCAAAACAAACGCCCATAGTTTTCAAAATAGTTCATTGTTCTTGCCCAACAAACAATCTTTAGTTTGTACCCAGTACTTTCTATATTTAGCATTATACCCCTAAAATAAATTTTGTATTAGTTTTGAACCTCAATTTTCATAAGAAAAGAGTACAGATTCACTGTACTTATGATCTGTATTGCTGAAGAAGTGATCTGTGTGTCTTGAGACGATTGCCAATAAACCAAAGCAGTAGTGGAACACAAATTCATTTAAGTACAAACGAGAAAACTCATTTCTATAATGCATGCGAGTTTGTAATTTATTTCTTTCTATCGAAGTTATTTTCCATAAAAGCAAGTCTTATTCGCTTTTTTGCAAGGATTTTATTTGTGTTGTCTCTCTGTTTGTGCAGGCAAAGTGAGGAGAATAACATTTCTTCTCTTTTCATCTGCAAGATTTATGCTTTATAGACTAAGGAGCTGATCATCTAAGTTGGTCAGATGCTGATGCACTGTCCCCAACAACCAAGAGCTGATCATTAAAGACAAAAATTTATATAAATATTACTAATAATATTTAATGGCTAGATAATCTGCAAGCCATTTATTTAGCCTAGATTGCCAGAATTCCAGTTGAAAAGATGTTGTCATTTGTATAAGGTGAGTTTGAAAGATCAGCAGATCTTGAAACTTCAGAACTGCACTTCTTTTCTTTGCGCTCATCCATCACTATTTGTCTGTGTCTACATTCTGTGCTGCAGAATGCTTTCTCACCCCTGCAAATCATATTCAAACGGATCGTAAATATTTTTTTAAGTATGTTTGATACACTGGACTCGAGTCTCAAGAACACTGGATAAGATCGACAAAGAAAAATACGAGAATTAAAAAAAAAAAAAAATACCTGTACATGTATATGTCTTTGCCATGGAGTTTCTTCTGGCACATATGACAAGAACTGAGAAAATCTGAAGCTGGAAATCCGGTAGTTTCTATGGATCTTGCTGGAGATATGTCGAAAACGCTTGCCCTTTTAGTCTTTGCGTTATTGTGGTGTATTCTGAAGTCATCACCTCTTCTACCATGTTTATCTCCATCAAAATACACCTTAGTATAGGACTTGTTTGGACCGTGACAAGTCACAATAGTGTAATCCTCCTCGAAATTACTGTCCATCTCCGTTCTATCAAAATCACCCCTAAATCTAGACGAATTCCCGTGTGGATTGACTGGAACTGGGTCAGATCGAATCAAATTCCGGCTACACAAGGCTAGATTACCCTCATGAGATTTGTCAAGAGCGACAACTATGCCTAATCCGACTCCGCCATGATCATATTTCTTTAGCCTAAATCTATTGCCGGAGATTATCGATCTCGAGATGGACTTCAAACTATTTTCTAACATGTCTAAGATTGCAAAAAAATTGTTGTAAGAATTGGATGCTCACCTGAGTCTTTAAAGTGCTCTTTTTGAGGCTTTCCAATTAGTGTTTGATGGAATTGTTAGAAGACTATGCCCATAGTTTTGATGATTTCATGCAATTGAACCACTTCTATTCCTATTATAAATCGGATTCCAACCAATTTTTTAAAAAGTCATTTGTCAGTGGACAATATTTAAAGTAACGTCCATTTCCAATGATTGAGACCCGATCCCACGTAAGGACCCACAATGCCTGACTCAGGCAAGATTACAATAATTAATATCGACATATTTGCCCAATGGTCCTTAACGTATGAACCTCCCATAGAATCAAAGTCTATCATTTCAATCAATGGCATTGCCATTCCTATACAAATGTTTAAGTGCGGAAATGATCTTTTCTGTTACGTGTCGTTCTAGTTGATAGCTAAAAAGTCAAAAAAGATTTTTTTTTCTTTGCTCTAAAAGACTACAATACCCTATGTCTTGATAAATAAGTAGAAAATAAAATAAAAATGCTCTTCTCCAACAATCCATCCCACTCCACTTTAACACTTACACCCACCCACTAACCTAGTCCAAACCACAAAATCCCCCTCCTTGCCTTCCATAGCCGTTATCACAATCATTGCCATCCCTCCACAACAATTGCATCATCATACCTAGGGATGGATCTAAACATTTTTTTAATGTAGGGTCAAAAATTAAGGACGTTCGAGTGGAACTCAGGCACTCCAAGAACAATATGCTTCAGTCATTGACGCTCGAGTTTACCTTGACTGACACCCTAAGTTTCTATTATGTCGAGCTTTGGTCACTGAATTTTGGAATATTTTGTACGTTACTCATTAAGATAATTGTTGAATTTTGAAAAATATCGAGTTTACAGTGAGTAATATACAACATTTTTCAAAATTTAGTGAGTAATTTTTTTTTTAAAGTTCAGTGAGTAATGTACAATATTTTTCAAAACTCAAAGATCAAAACTCGACATTTCAAATTTTAGTGAGCAATCGAAGATATGGATCTAAGTTCAGTGACCAAAACTCGACATTTTAAATTTTAGTGATCAATCAAAAACATGGACCTAAGTTCAGTAACCATTGGAACAATTAACTCCACAGTCTGACTTCTCTCTATGCACTCTCTCTCACACTTATGCCTGTTGCTACACCCTTACTCTATGTCTCTATCACACAGTTATGCATACAATACATACAACCAATATGTCTAGTGATGATAAACAATGCAAATACTGATAGGAAAAGAAAAAAAAACTCAGATTTTGTGGTATCATTTGACCCCACATGACTCAATGTGGGTCCACCCCTGATCATACCAATCAAACTAACCTTCCTAGAAAATAATGCATTTCTCAACATCGTTAATTTTATGTCCTAACTAACAAATGCAAAATTGTGTTGCGCCCAACCGCAAATCATTTAGAATATTAAAACAAACCAAAAAAAAAAAAAAAAAAAAAAAAAAAAAAGAGTTACTTCTGATAAAGAGTTAGAAAGGATTTCAAAATTCTCTATTTTCTCTTTCTTTTCCCAACATTTCTATTTTATATTGAAAATTATTTATTTCTAGAAAAGGACTTGGCCTCGTTCTTTTTGCAACTGGGCTCATCTAAAGTTTGTTAGAGCTTTTGGGTCTTTTACCTAAGCGTGAAACCATGTGGCATTCCTTTTTTATCATTTTCTTGATTTATAACATGTACAGAAATATTAAGCCATTGTTTGAATTCCATTTTTTTCATCAAAATACATTTTTCAAAAGTGGTTTGACTTTACTTTAATCACAATCACGCATTTTTTAATAAAATAATATTACGCATAAATTCATGATTTTTCTTTATTTTCTAACCACACATTTCCTGTAAATACAGTATTCAAAAATGCATTTTTTGATAAGAATGAGAATCAAACAAGAGCTAAAACATACTTTTTAAAAGCGGAAGAAAAAAGGTGAGAGGACAGGAAAAAGTAATTTAAAAATAATGTATTACAACAGTTTTGAAGGTGATGTTACTAGCGGGAAAGTGATAGTGGCGGAATGGAAGCGAGGGACGGTGTTGAATGGGGTGAAAGATGAAGAATATTTTTTTCTACTTTTTCTTTTTCTTTCTTTTATTTCATTTCTAACTTATTTAGCCCTCATTTGGTAGCAATTTTTTATCCAGAAAAATTAATTTTTTGATAATTATTTCACTATTTCTACCATCATTTTTTACTTTTTCACTCGTATGTGGGACCCTCTTTTCTCTCTAATAGTCAAAAAATTAATTCTCATAATCACTACCGAATAGGCCCTTGGTTCATTTTTGGTGGAGATTAAAAATCAAATTTTTAATAAATTTGGTAAAAGTTGATAAAACGTTTAATTGAAAAGTTGTGGATCCAATAAAATATATATAATTAAAATTGATTGTTAATTTTGATCTAGATTAAAATCACAACTAAACAGAGGCTTAACTAAATTTAAGCTGTAATAGTCTTTTTGATAAAAATAAAATAAAATCTTTAATGTTTATCTGGATGGCACGTGACAGAAATGACTATTTTCTCACCTTAAAATTCATACGGGGATGTCAATGCCAAGTTTAAAAAGATAGATCCTATTTTAAATTATGGTCATACATTAGGGACCATTTGTGTAAATAAACTAATTATCGTCCCTCCATTATTTGTTTCCGTCCACGTTGGGTGTCGTGTCAAATGATCGAAGGGTTGAAATTATTATGGGACCAACCGATTTAATTTGATGTTTTCTTGTATTTTTGGACCACTTGAAGTGGGTCCCAGACTGGAAATTGATTCATGGTGCCGCTGTATTCTCGCTCTCAAAGTCGGGTTGTTCCGTGGAGAATTACTATATTATCCTTGGTGTTTTCGAACACAGATCTGCTGCATGCATAGAAAATGACAATCAGAATTTCACTAAAAAATATTTGACAGCAATCTATCGAATAATGGCAAAAAAAAAAAAAAAAAGACAGACAAACTAGATGCTGCTGTGGATTTCTGGCAGCAATTTCTCTTGTACGGAGGAATTGTACAAGAGGAATTGCTGTTTCGAACAACTATTTACTAAACACTTGTTTGAATGCTATTATAATGGTTCTCAAATCTCTAGTTTGAAACTGTGTTTTCTTTGTCTTTACTGATTAACTTTAAATATTAGCTTTTAGAATTGAATAATAATTAATGTATTTAAATTCGGGATAGAATTTCGATCAAATAAAATTAGAAAGTAAATGGTCATATAGTCGAACCAATGATAGAAATACGTATTTCGAAAAATAAAAAAAAAATTAAGGTCTTATTTGTTTTAACTGTTTGAATTTTTTTTCTCAAATTTTCACCTAAAATCAAAATGGTTCTCAATCTTCCGATTGAACTGGCAAATGAGTCCAATATTAAAACGGAAGGTTAAAATAGAAGGTTTTGGTCCTTCAGGTTTGAAATGGAATATTTAAGTTCCCAAACTCATGCAGTATTCAAGTCTAGAATGAGACCAGGGATCCCCCATCCTCCCCAACAGTGGACTCGACAAAAGATGAAAGGAAAAAAAAGAAAAAAACCACTCCTGGTCTGTACATAAAAGGATGCCGAAGTGCAGAGAGAGTAAAGGATGTTGAAAAATCATAAACTCCATTTTTTAAAATTTATATTATCTCAAACAAGTCTTGATCCTCAATCATTTTTCTAATAACGCTTTGTTCTTAACACTTCAACTAGATCTTGATCTTATAAACTCTGTTTGAAATGTCAGGAACCTAAATATTTGATTGCCTTGACTTTATTTGATTAAGCTAAACACGACTCATGTTAGGCTATGTCTCGATTTGCTGTATCTAGAGAGGTGAACCAACATTGGCTCTGTCGAGAGGTGAACAAACACAATATGTGTTTCCCGAATATATGGGTAAAAAAAAAAAAGGTTAATTAGCACGACAATAATACTAAGTGCCTGTTTGAGCCACATTATTTCAAAAAAATACATTCTTCAACAGTGATTTGACATCATTTCAACCACACATTTTTCAATAAAATAATATTACACGCAGATCAAAAATTTTTCTTTATTTTTTAACCACACATTTTCCATCAATACACTATTCAAGAATGCATTATTACCAAAATAATATGACTCAAATACCCCCCTATATGTACATGCTTCCAATCACAGAACTTTTATAGAATTTTAAACAATGATGATGCTACACCTACTTTGAAAAAAAGGAAGAAATAAAAACTCTTTTTAACATGTTAATTTTCGAGATAATTACCGATTGTCGAACGAAGTTGAAATATTGCATTTTTACTATTATTTAGAAGCGCTCGCAGCCTAATTTTCATGTCATTAACAACGTACAAAACGGTCCATCGTAGGAAACGTTACTACACATCAAAGTACACCATTCCAAACTAATATTTTGATAATTTCGATAACACGCTAAATTTAAATATTCTCCGACGATAGTAAGCTAATCGAATTTTTAAAAAAGCATATGTTATCTCAAAGTTCATTTTGAGAACTACATCATGAAAAAATTGAATTGCTTAATGAATATAAAAAATAGTTAGACATGCGTCAAACGTGCATGTTAAAAAAAGACGTGTAAATTGTCTTTTCTTTTATATTTTTTCTATTACTTCATTAACATTTACTATTTTTGCGCAAGAAATTTCTCAATATATATAGTTTATATCATTTTATTAAAATTTTTACATGTAGTACAACGTCAAAGATTTTTGGATGTCATGTAAAATTCTCCTAAAAATTCCTAATAAAATTTTTACTTTCTAAAATTTTTGACGTCGTACTTCAAGTAAAATTTCTAATAAAATGATATAAATCATATTGAGAAATTTGTCGTCCAAAAACAATAAACATTAATGAAATAAGAGAAAAAATTTAAAGAAAAGACAAATTATACGTCTCTTTTTAACACGCATGTTTAACTATTTATGATATCCATTAAGCAATTCAATTTGTCCATGATGTAGTTCTTAAAACGAACTTCAAGATAATGCATGCGATTTAAGAAATTGACTAGCGTACGATCGTCGATTTTTTTTAAAATTAACGTGTTATTGAAATTCTCAAAATACTAGTTTG